TATCTCTTTCTCTCTTACTGGCTACATCATGCCAGCCGTAACTACTAGTCGAGTCTGACTATGAGCGGTATAATGCTCATATATATGTATATACTGGAAATACGTATGTGTGTTCACGTAGAAACGAACATATCCTCCTATTGCGAGGTATTTGCGGGCGAATCGCCGACTGGTGGAAAGGCCCTTCCGTTGTTAACGTGCGATCGTAACCCGCGGGAAATGAGCTAAAGGTATGCTTCGTCGTTATTATTGTTCCTGTTGTCATTGTTATAGTCCAGTGCTTTCGATCGATTCTTTACGAAAAACGAAGCCTTCGCCATTCGTTCACCCTTCGAGAGAAAAAAAATGGGGGAAGATGGTTTATGCGTATTGCCTAATGTAAGATGTCCTTCTCGAATTGTAATACAACGAAAAACCTGCGTTTCTCATAAATAACAGAAAAGAGGAAGGGAAAGAGAGAGAAAGAGAGAGAGAGAGAGAGAGAGAGAAAGAGAGAGTGACGAATTTAACAAAGATGAACAAAGAATAAAAACATGCGTACAGTTATGTGTGAGAGTTAGTACGAAAAGAGAGTCGTAGGACGTAGGCTTGTTTTATGGTGCCATTTTCATATACAATATAGGACACAAGTGTGGAACTATAAACGATTTCCCATATCCCTCCCTCTCGTGTTCTCGCTCGTATCTTTCGTATAACAGGAATAAAGAGATCCGTAATACGATATCGTTATATCATAAAAGTAACGAATATAGTAGGTACTGTAACGACGTTCTTCGTAAATTCTTCCCGATTGGTCGAAAAAATAGTCAAAGTTACGTTCGAGGATTTGACTTTCCTCGTTGAACATTGATGAAGTATTCTGATGTTGAAAAATAAAAAAAGAGTCGTAGTTTCGTAAATAGACCTGAAAAAATGTCCATAATATTTTATTTTTTTAAAGAAAGATAAAAAAGACGATGAAATAAATCGATGTATAAATTAATTACGATATTTATAATAAGTATAATATTATTAATTATATAATTATATAGAAGTATAATATTTAAAATTTGCATTAATATTTAGATGCCATGGTTTTTTAAATATAATTGTTTTGTACACATAATTAGAGTTGAGTTAAGAAATTATTGTTTTTTTTTTACTAATATAAGGAGTACACTTTTTCTATTTGCTAGTAACATAGATTTTAATTATTTAATTTGCATAATCATCCATATAGCATGACGAAAACGAAATAACGCTTACTTATATTCTTGCAAAAATATACGGATACATATTATCTTTTGTAGCTTGTTCGTTTTAAAAAGTTAGTTGAATCATTCAGAAATCTTATTTGTAAATATAGCGGTGTCAAGGAACTCAATCAAGGATCAAAAATCAATTTAGATCATTTAGATGTACGCCAACTTGTCCTTCTTCATAAACAAACTGAAAGATCATATCGAAAAATTGGTAATTTCCAATATGATCCAATATGGTAATGATATTTCCAATAATTTTTACATCATTAAAAGATATACCAGAGAAGATAGAATGGAAAGAATTTCTAAGGAAAGACGTCAAAAATTTCTTATTATCCGCCATAAATGTAAGACTATTAAGAAAATAAAACAAGATTTGATTAGATTGAGTGTTCTGAAGTTGACCTTAGTTATTTGAAGAAACTAGAAAGAAAGTGCATTTTAATATAGTTCGCAGTGTATTAAAAAAAGATATTATACAAAAAGATTTATACAAGGTTGAGAGTTATTAAAAAAAGAGTTATACAATGTAAAAAGACTTGTATATACATATATACAAAGTAATAATATAAAATAAATGAAGTATATATGTAAGCGAAAAGAATCAAAAGAAAATAATTATGTTCACTAAAAAGTATATTTTCAAAGAAAAGATACGATGAAACGGCGTAATATTTGCCAATGAAAGCAAATTAAATATTTTTAGAAACGATGAAAATGATGTCGCGTAGAAATCAATGAAGAATTAGATTTTAGAAATCTATAACCAACTATGAAACACGGTGGCAAATATCCGATAATTTGAATTTTATGTCAACTACAAAAATGGGTTAATTAGTTTTCATCAAAGTCATTGTAGACAAGAAACAGTATTTATATATTTTTAAAAACATTTAATAAAAAGCCTTGAATCTTCCATTACAGTCACCAAACTTGAACGTTATTGATAATCTATTGAATGGGTTAGATCGCAACATAGGAAAAACACTAACCTTTTCTAAACTTCCTTTCAACAGTTACGACTTGGTAAATTTCAAAGAGTAAACGTTGTAGGCACATGCCACTCAATGACTTGCATCATACTCGATGTTTCAAGGGGGGAAAGATAAAATAAAAGTGATTACTAAAAACAAAATTATGGGTTGGTGTACGATTAATCAAGAATTTTATTTGGGGGTGGTTAGCAGCTGGTAGGAAAAATATATTCCTCGTGATCGGAACCGTGTTCTATCTCTATCTCTATCTCTCCTTCAATGAACGCGATGGTGGCCCATCGAGGGAGTCCTAGGGTTTGAAAAGGCATGCCTAGCAGGGGTGCGCATCACATCGCCGTACCCGTTACGGGTAATATAGTTGTGTAAACACGAGTGTGTAGTATTAGCACTGTCAGCGGGGCTTCAGCGTTCGAACGCAAGCGAATAAGCGAACGAGCCCTCTTCTGACTTAACAGAGAAATGCCTTCTTTCCCTTTCTCTTTCTCTCTTTTTCTTTCTTCTACATCGAATACGTTTTTCTAATCCTTTTATTTATGAACAAGAAAAAACACGTATTCCACTTATTCCACTGTCTATTTTATTCATTTTTCATATTTGTCAGAATTTCTAGAACTTGTCATAGTATTTTAGTCCATGTTTATTCTTTTAAAAATAATATTTATATCTAAACGATATTGAAAAAATGATTAGTAAAAAATAAATATTATGTATTATTAAAAATGAATATCATGGCATAAACATTTTAGTTTTTATAGATACAGCTTATCAGAAAATGAAATTATTTCAAATTTTATTTAATTAGATATAAACTCGAGTCAATTTTTATTATTAGTGATTATCTTTTGTAAGATTTCAATAAAAATAATAACCACTTAATAACATTATAAATGGTAGATTGTTATTATTCTTGGCGTTAATACTTGCAACATTGATAAACGAACGTATTTAACTAAAAATATAAACAGAATGAATATCCAGATAGTTTATTTAAAATTATCCAAAAGAACAGAGAAGAGAACAGAAAAGAATAGAGGTATACACAAAATTTGTGTATGTGTTTTTTTTTTAATTAAAATTACTTAAATTACGAGCGATTAATGGACACAAACTTTATGTTTCTATCGCTGGTAGGTATATACATAAGCAATTTAATACTAATTCTAGGACTTGTTCGACAACCAACGTAATAATAATACAAATGCAGGAAATACGAACGAGGATACGGCATACACTCTTTCTCACTCACATGCTTACACATACAAACATACATACAGAAAGAAATTCTTCCTCGAGGTATTTCTCGAGCGCCTGGAGAACTCGTCCAACCGTGTTTTATTGCGTTCTGTCGTCGAACTCGGGAATAGGTCATTGTCCACGTTTCTTACTCGTTACCCGAGCTCTTTGCATTATGGTTCGGCCGCGAAATAAGAGAATATTAATCTTGATCACGCTCTCCGAACAATTTCGTATATCATCCTACAGAATCATGATTTTATCCCTTACTAGCGACTGGTGGTTATCGATGAATTTACATTATGACATTTTGGCGTTGAACCTTGCATATGAAATGCAAAGGGAACTTGACGAAGGGATTGTATTACCGGTAAAAAGAATGAAACATTGATAATATTGAAGGAAAAGGATCGACCTAGGAAATTCGCTCCGTATCGAGTGAGTAACTAGAAGGGAAATGGCAATAGAAATTGATATATTCATTGTATCGATTATGTTCTCTTTCTTATCGAAGAAAAAAAAGAAATATATATATATATTGTATGTGAATAGTATTCTATAGTTACAAGTAAAAATATTAATAAGTACGAAAGTATATTGTAAAGTACATATATTTAAAAAGTGAAAAATTAAACGTAACTATTTATTTACGAAGTATTTAATAAAAAGTGAAGGAAAAAGTATCGAAAGATTGTAAACAAGAGCAAAATGTATCGCGTGTATTTTGATGTCAATATAAAATATTTTTTCGTTTCCATAGAAAATACATTGATGAAATCCATTTTGTATTAGCTTCTATGTAATCATATCGATCTCATCAATCATATTTTCGTGATAAAAGCAATTGTTGATTTTATTTAAACTTGAATATTATATAATGAATTTTTGTTATTGGAGGATGAGACGAGAAACGTTTGAAAATCTAATGAAACGTTATTCTCTGTTTATCTCAGTGATAAGAAATTTTTAATTATTATGTTTTATTTTTTATTTAATTTTTACATATTCATAAGCGAAGATATGCCTGCAAAAAGTAAAACAATAAAACGAAAAGTATAATAAATATTTCTTATTCTAGGAAAAATCGTTTCGATTAAATATATCATATTTCCAACATTTTTTATACGAAATCTTATATATGAAATGTTTTTATTATTTTTATTATTTAATATCTCAGCTTATAATTACAATATATTTATAAAATACCATTAACCGTTACATAATTATAAATATACACGGTATATTGGATTTACAAATTGATTCGCATAAGCACTGAAATTATCGATGCCAATAAAATAAACTTATAAGTAAATATAACGTATCTTATTCGATCTTTAGTTTAAATAAATTATTGTTATTTCGAATCTCTTTTGTGTATGAATTTTATTTCTGTCTGAAAATTCCATAACATTCATATAACTGAGTGAGTAAAGCAGGTAATATATATATATATATAAAAGTAAGAAAACCATATGATATTTGAAGTTGTCCGATATTGTAGGTAGGATTAAAAGCGATTAGTAAGACTCACCACCAATTAGCCTGCGCTCCGTTTTGCCATACGAAAAGCAGAACAAGTAGGCTGAATACGCTGCTTGGCACAAGGCCTCTCATCTTCGTAGATGAAGAAAAACGATTCCAATAATGAAGACGATAAAGTTGATCGTGCTCTCTTCTGCAGAGAAAACAAATTCCCAACACAGAAACTTCTGACACCGAAGAAAAATCTGTGAGGGATTCCGGAAGAAAAATGATTAAGTGAAGTAACTGTTTTCCTCAAACTTCTGGCATTATCTTTTTTTCTTTCTCTATTAATCTTTCTATTTCTATCTTTTCTTATTTATATTGTTCTTTCTCTTCTTCTTTCCGTTTTCGTATCTATCTCTTCGGTTTTGTGCCTATCCACAAAGCTGACTACTATTTGTCGAGTGTGATGCGTCTGTCAGTTAAGGGAACGCGTATGAGCTTTTCCGCTCTTACTTTCCGGTCTTTTTCGATAACGTACCCCTTTTCCCTGTTCTTCTTACATTTTTCTTCACGCCCCCGGCATCGCCGGACACGTAGTGCACTCACTATCTCTCACCCACGGGCTTCCTCCTACCCTGTTATTTGAAGGAGGAAAAATAAAAAATGCTACTATTTACGGGAGAAATGTAAAGGTTTTAAAAGGGTTGAAAAGAGGATTTATAGGTAAAGAAAGAAAAGGAAAGGGTATCGAGAAGGAGGAGAAAAATGCAAGATAGTAAGCAGGAAGAAACAAAACAATAAGATTTGATGATCGAAGAAGGGGTCTTGCTTGGAGTTTGCTGAACGAGAAGAAGCGCGTGTCGTCGACGACGACAACGAGCAAAAGAGGAGGAACACGAAACCTTCGTTCGAAAATGAGAACGCGAGACGGCACTCGGCGAACGTTCGCCCACGAACTGTGGCCGGTTAGTCACGAGGAAAAGGGCAACAGCTTGGAGCGGTGCTTGGCGAGTCTGCTTGGGGAGATGGCAGTAGTGGTGGTATCGGGGCGGGCCGGGGGAGGGCGGCCGCTGAGGCGGAGGGCTGGCGACCACGCGTGACTGGGCGTGTCTTATCAACTGCCCACGACTCACCGATTGGCTTTCCCAACGACAGTGGGGGAATCATCGAATTTCCGTTAATTAGACATTTCGGCGGTGCATCCGCGACCTTTTTCTGCGGTGCTTCGGTCTTATCTTAATGATTTTTACAAACAAATGATCTCTATGTCTTCTCAAATGAACGGGCTAAATATAATTCCAATTTTTTTTTTATTTGTTCCTATCAAATTTCAGCGCTTACTTCATCTTGCTTATTTGTTTTTTTACATTTCATTAGAAAAGATTATCGGCGTATAATTATATTGACAAGAATTGCTATGTTTAACTCATTTAGACACACATGATTTTTTAGAAATTAATATTTTTCAATTTTCAAATGTTTGTATGTCATGTAACAAACTTTGATTTAGAATTGTGTTTTTAGAAACAGAAAACAATATTTATATAATATTGTTTATTGAAACGAAAATTTTTCTTATAAAAATTGTTAATAATTAAATTACAATCATCTTTTTTTAACTCAATGAGCAAACATGAAGTTTTAATAATTAAATATCATAATTTATATTTCTTCAATATTAGTTTTTTACCATTTTATTCTGATTAATCATATAAAAGAATATATTTACAGTTCCCTTTTATCTATCATATTTGTTACATTTGTATTATAGAAACGATTTGCGCTGTTAAAATCACCATTGGTGGTATAGAGTGATTTAATCACAATTTGTTAATACAATTTCCACCGAATGTTTATATAAATGATTATATTCTTTTTCGTACCTTTTTGTTAATTTCTATTTTATAATTTAAGTAGTTCTGTATATGTACATAGCAAAATAGTCTAACAAAGTTGAGATGAGTTCGTGCAATGAAACAACAAAAAAAAGACGTTTATTATAGGTTATTAGATAAATAAATTATATACATTATATTGTGAAAAACTGACGATGTACTAAGGTGAAAATAGCAAATAATTAAGAGAATCTATTATTATTGTTGAAATAAAAAAGTTTTTTTTTTTCAAAACAACACAGATATAGAAATTTTATTACTATAGTTTCAAGTTTTATTTCATTTATTTACGATTGGTTTATAACGAAAAAAGACGAATATATGAAGAAAAAATGTAGAATTATTATTAATATTTTTGTAAAAGAAACTACAAAGATATTTATTCAAATTACATTAACAATGATTTATTATTAATAATTGCAAAGCAAAGATTAATGTGTTTGTTTTTAGTAAAAGTAGAAAATTATGTAAGAGATATATTGAAAATTTTTCAAAGCGTTGTAATTTTTAATTCCTACGTAATACAATTTATGAACATTTTTTGCTACTTTAATAAGTTTTTAAGATAACTATTTAAAAAGTAGTAGTAGTAGTAGAGAGAGAGAGAGAAACAACTGACATCTTGTAATAAGTTATAAAACTATTTTTATTTCGCTTACGTAGAGTACTATTTAATATAGACATTCGAAAACATTTAGATCAGTTTGTTTGTTCCTTATTTTCAGTTGATAATATAAAGTATAAAGTTAACTCAAAGGATACAAAGATTCGATCGGTAACATTGGGATCTATTTTTTGTACAGCCAATCCCCTATTACTGTCGCATGTTTTTCTAGCGTCGATAATATAGTATTCTCCTACTAAGTGAGATCCAAGTGCAGACATCAATATTTTTTAAATTTTACCAAAAAAATAAAGAAGTATATATAATAGAAGCTTACAAGTCCACTTTTTTCCTATCTAGATTAATTTCAGTTAATACAGTGATCACCAATGATCGATGGTAATATATAGTAATAGTAGTATTCTTTAATAGTATTGTACTGCCATAGCGTTAGGTGGTATAAATACTCACTAATACCTCTAGATTAAAGATATACAAAGTGATTAACGTGTATAGAAAACTTTATTGATAAATCTGTATTTAATATGTATAACAAGTAGTTAAATTTAGTCTTAAAAACACGTGGTGAGTACAAAGCGTTGTGTGTTGTATAGTGTGTTTGTCTGTTTTATCATTTGAAGTATAGTCGTATAAGCGGCCTGCAGAGGTGTGACTGTAGATACGTGTCCGCCACAGTTATGTCGTATCACTGCCAGCGATCCCATTCGTACGATAATTATCGTACGCGTACGATAATTTGAGGTCCTGTACGATCCAAAAATCGTTGCGTACATATGATTAACGAATACAGAAAACTTTATTAATAAAACTGTATCTAATAAGTATAACAAGTAGTTGAAATAAGTCTTTGGAACACATGGTGAGTACAATGCGTTGTGTGTCGTGTAGTGTGTATAATGCCATTAACTATTGTTCTTATTGTTTTATGTGTTGTTGGTCTGTTTTATCATTTGAGGTATAGTTGTATAAGCGGTCTGCAGAGGCGTGACTGTAGATACGCGTCCGCTACAGTTAAGTAAGTACCTACTATCGTCTGCTAGTGGTTACGGTAGTAACTAAGATGAATTTGGTTAGGAAAAAGTGATCTTGTGAGTACACAGTACAAGTAGTAAGACCCAATACTTAATTGTTTCAAAGGAAATAAATGAAGAAGTTTCATATACATTCTTACATGAGGCGTTGAGAACTATAATGGTCTGAGCCACATTTTCTTCCAAAATACGCAATATTTGGTAATGATGAAAGATTTTTACTTAATACTATTGTAAGCCTTTCTTAATATTCAAAGAAAAGAGAAAAATAATTATATATATATATATATATATATTTGAACATATGTAATAGATATAATACGATAAAGTAAAATGTTGAATAGAATTGTAATTGTCTATAATCTTCTCACTCCCGAACCACTAATTAATTATCATCATATCTTTCTCTCACTACCTTTTAAGTTATACTTCTTAAGGTAGGTAGTTGCGAGGCTCAAAAAAGACGTCTTTTTATGAATTTTTTATAGAAACAGTTTTTATTAACAATTACAAGTGATGATAATTCAAATAGAGCCTACTTTTCAGAATACAATAGCGCGTCGATCATGTAAAAATATTGATGTGCATTGCTCTTGTAGATGATCTCCCGAACGACCTCCAAAAAAAGGCGCTTGACGGTGATCTCCATTTTGGCGGTCTGGATTATCTGAAATCAAAAAGTGTGGTGGATTCTTTTAAAGGATAGATTAATGCAGGTATTGAACGGAAGAAATAATAAAAATTTTTGACAAAATGGCGTCTATTTGAAAAAATTTTTTCGTTTTTGACTGAAATTTTCGCTCCAAATTGTTAAAAAAAATAGTAATAATTTTTTTAAATGTTATTCCTTCCATCAATATCTGAGGAATATATCTAAGAAGATTGTGTAAAAATTTAAGACCGATCGGTTAAGCCATTTCTGAGAAATCGAGATCACCGACTTTGAAAATACCGTTTTGAGAAAAACGCGTTTAAAGTTTCAGAAGTAGTTTACACATAGTTAAAATTTTTTTTCTTCAACTTACATGGTATCATCTATTCCAGGGCCATAAGAGATACCTTCTGCAGTATCGGTAGCTTCTAATAAGTCCAGCTGGTGTTGTCGTCGAGCCATTCTTCCTTCTCGCGTGCTCCTATGCGCTCTCGCGTCGGAGATCATCACACGCTCTGCGTCCTCTTTGTCGACATAAGCATGAGCTGCGATGCCTAATGAAAGTCCTAATGTACTCATATAGTACAATAATGATTTTATACCTTCATTAAACATTCCAGCTGCAATGTAAGCCGTTATTTCAACAACTTTAGAGCTACATGGAACAATTTTTGGAGTTATTTTCCATATTAACTGATTATAACTCTCATTATTGTTTTGTGTAAATCCACCAACACACCTTTCCAATAATTTTACGTTGCTAAGGTTTTCATAAATTGGACATATAGCTTTAGCAACATCAGCTGGTAAAGTTGGATAATCATGGGTGTAAGAAGATAATGTGTCTGTTGCTAGCGCTTGCTGCCAACTACACCATGAACCTTCTCCACCAGGGTACATTTCGTGTTCTTTCGCCTTCTCATCAGTCGAAAAATAGTGATAATATGTTCCCCAAATTGCATTATACATATTATCCACAGAATCACAATTTCTGTTTATTGCTAAACCATAGTAGCTTATCTATTAGCTTAGCCGTGAGTTTACCTTTTCCTGAATGTGACCTTGAAGTACTTAGTGGACCTACTATACTCGCCTTCTACGATAAAACATAATAGAAAAAGGAACCTCAGGTAGCGCGTGCAGTGAGTGCAGCTGCTACTCCGGTTCTTACTCTACCTGCTTTCTAATACTCTGACGTGGCCTTACGAATTCAAGTATATCTCCGAAAATATTTATCGGATTGGCTTCAAATTTTCAGAGAATATGCTTAAATATATGTACATTCTGAAAATGTAAAAAAAATCAATTTTTTGAAAATTCTAACTACCTATAACCCCTTAACTAAAACTATCTCTTTTCATGTCGTACTTCTTAACATAATATCACATAACAATCTCCTCTCGCATACTCTAATCTCCACCGTCTTTTTCATTACAAATATATTACGTCATCCTCCTCTATTGTCTATCGTCATTTCTTATCGATGTCCTTCTCCCTAAACTTCCTTTACTTTCTTAGGAGCCTCTATTTCGCCCCATAGTAGATAAAAATTGATCATATGATCTTTTTATTTTTTGTTATGTACGCCATAAGTATTTGCACACACACATACACACTATCTTATTAACTCATGCTCACCTATCACACACACAAAAAAAGAAACATTTCCTGTAACGTTTCTTACTAGAAAATCGTCTTTAGTTATTCTTAGAAATATCTATATACGTACTTCTAATAGTGATTGTTCTCTGTTAT